ATAGCTCATGATTCTAAAAGCCAGACTCATGCTGGGCATCTCCCCGTAGCCCATGGCTGCAAAGGACAGAAGGAAAGAAGGAGAGAAGGGAGAGCTATCTCTGACACCCATACCTATCAAGTGGTCCCAGGTCCCCACAGCAGCTGCTGTGACCAAGGCCCCAAAGCTGCAGCCTACATGAACAGGCAATGTGGAAAGTGGGCAAGACACATTTTATCATTAGCACAGTCAGGGCTCACTGTGGTCATCAGGCAAATATGTGCCCAACACTTTTTTTGTGTCAGTTCTTGAGAGGCACGATACATCAGGTGTGTGCTCTGTCCTTACAGATGTCATGGTCTTGCTTGAGAGGGAGATGTGTAAACAAAGAGACTATGCTGTGGAGAATGGAGCAAGAGCTTTCCTGGAAATGCTGGTGATGACCTCCCAGAGGGTAAGCCCTTTGCACTGGGCCTGGAAAGGTGAGAATGAATTTTCCAGGCAAAGAAAGAGTAGGCTTCTTGGTAAAAAGAATGAACATGCCATCCATTTTCCCATCCTCTCCCAAATCCACTAAAACTACACTAAAGAGATTTTAAGTCAAAATATATAAAACCACAAGGATGGGGAGAATAGGCAGAGAGCAACAGGAGCAACAAAATGTTGAAAGCTGAAAAGCAGGTGGACAAGTGGAAACTGACTGAGACCCAAGACAGCTAAACCATATAAGCTTGCAGTGGGGAAAATAGAACTACTCTTTAACACCAGAAAATCCCCAAAGGGCATAAGAACTGGTAACCAGGTACCGCTGGAACTGAGGGTAAAGAGGAGGGAGGAAAGGTTAAAAGGTGCTTAAGAAACAGATCTTGCCAGGCACAGTGTCTCAAGCCTATAATCCTAACTTTGAGAGGCCAAGACGAGAGGATTGCCTGAGCCCAGGGGTTCGAGACCAGCCCGAGCAACTTGGTGAGATCTCGTCTCTACAATAAATCAAAAAAATAGCTGGGCATGGTAGTGCATGCCTGTGGTTCCAGTTACTTGGAAGGGTGAGGCAGAAGGATCGCCTGAGCCCAGCAGGTTGAGGCTGTGGTGGCCATGAGCATGCCACTGCACTCTAGCCAGGGTGACAGAGTGAGACTCCAACTCAAAAAAAAAACAAAAAAGAAAGAAACAGATCTCTAGACCCCTTCACCCACTCCATACAACTGGGTGACTGCTCCTTCCCCACCACAGCCAAAGGTGAGGCTTATTATCCAGACATGTAAAACTTTGCCCCAAGGGTAAGCCAGCATAGCTGAGGGCATGACTACCCTATGGAAAACAGAAAAATAAAACAACCATATATTTTTAAATAAATGCCTTATATATTGAGAACCCACCCAATGCTCTATGCATAACTCCCAGAAAACATTTCACTAGGGAATCTAGCTAGTCCAAGGGGAAGAAACTAAAGACACTTACTTGGCAGTTCCCAACAGTGGCTACCCAGGCCACCCTGCAGTGAAGATCCAAGTTTTTAGACCCCCTCCTACTTGCTCAGAACTTCCAATCAGCTTTTCAGTCTCCTACTCTTAATCATTATCTGACAGCCAAAGATTTTTAGATATCTGAGAAAAGCCTGTAATAGATTAAGGACAAAATAAAGTTAAACAAATAAACAAACAAAAAGCAAGCAAATCAGAAGAAAAACTATGCAAGGAGAAGGAAACTTTTAGAAAACTATCATTAGTGATAGTCTTAGAGAGCCAAGAGAAGATTCATAAAAAGAGCAGGATGCTGTAGAAAATGACAAAAACAGCTCTTTGAATTTAAACATTCCATAGAAGAGTTGAAAGACAAAACTGAGGAAATCTCCCAGAAAGTAAAGCAAAAGACAAATAGATGAAAGAGAAGAAAAGACAAGAAAATAAGAGAACAAGTCCAGGGGAACAGATATCCAACAATAGTTCATAAAGTGAGAACAGAGAAAACAGGGTGATAAAATCAACTCCAAAATAATCCCAAATAAAGAACTAAATAAAAACTCTCAATTTCCAACTGAAAGCCTCTAAGCATGTCCCAGAATGAAGAGACCTATATCAAAATACATCATTATGAAATATCAGAACACTCTTAAAAGCTTCCAAAGAGAAAAGCCAGTCACATGCAGCAATTAGGATCAGACTGTCTTCTCATTCTGAACAGCAACACTGGAAGCAAGAAGACAATTTAAAATTCTGAAGGAAAATTATTTTCAATGTATAATTCTATACCTAGCCAAACTCTCCATCAAAAGTAAAATAGAAAAAAAGACATTTTCACACACAAAGAGTTCAACATCTACTTCCTGTATACTCTTTCCAAGAGACTACCAAAACAATAAGAATGTAAATCAAGAAAGAGAAAAATGTAGAATACAAAAAAGCAGGAAATCCATGATAGGAGAGAGGTAAAGGGAATCTACAGAATGACAGGAAGAAAAATCCTAGGGTGACAGCTGTGTACCAGACACGGAAAGAAACTAAGGCATATTGAGCTGAATGACTCAAAGGTCCAGAGCTTGCCTTCTGCTATTGTACCATCTTCAGGACCCGATAAAACTACTGGAGGCAGAACTTCAATAAAGCTGGGGAACAAACCAAGAAGAGGAAGACATGAGATTCAGGAAGCTAAAGGAAACACCAGAGAAAGGCAAAGTGAAGACCCCAGGATAACAGCTGTGTGTCAGGCCTAAAAGGCCCCCAGTTCAGATCAAGAAAGAGTAGATATCTCCAAAAGGGACGTCTCCAAGGAAAGTAACTGACAAGCATTGACCTCGTGGAATACTTTAGTAGGAGGCTATTAGAAAGTCTAAGAAAAATTAGCAAGGGACACTAAAAAACTAAAATGAAAAACTAAGGAAAGTACTAACCTGAGGAACAACAGAAGGAATATTATCATAGTATACAACAATTTTCAGTTATGAATAATATTGTATAAGCATAGTAAGTTAAATAGTAAACATTCATTTGATTTAGACAAAAATTATGATCTAACTATAGGGAAAAGATAAGTTTAGGGAAACAGAAAATGATGGTATAAAAGAGTCAATTCTTTATCTACCATAACAGGACAACAATAGAGAACATCTAAAGTTGAAGACTCAGAAATATTCACATAATACTCAGGATTTTGGAAATGCATACATGCCAGAAGAAACAGGTAAAAGCTGAAGACACTGGCTTCTGTGAAGAAAAATTGGGAGGAATAAACTGTTGTATTTTATTTATTTTATTTATTTTTATTTTTTTGAGTTGGAGTCTCACTTTGTTACCCAGACTGGAGTGCAGTGGCTGCTCCCGGCCACTGCAGCCTTGACCTGCTGGGTTCCAGCGATCCTTCCGCCTCAGCCTTCCAAGTAGCTGGAACTACAGGCGTGTGCTACCACGGCTGGCTAATTTTTTTGATTTATTGTAGAGATGAGTCTCGCCAAGTTGCCCAGGTGGGGCTCGAACCCGCGGGATCAAGCAATCCACTCACCTCAGCCTCCCAAAGCGCGGGATTACAGGCTGAGCCACTGAGCCTGGCTTGCCATATTTTAAAATATGATTTTAATTAGAAGTATAATTTTAAGTCTTAAAATATGTACATATATTAATTTGACAAAGTAAAATTTAATTTTCTTTAAAAATAAGGATTAAGACCTTCCTAAATAGAGAAGTAGAACATGCAGCAGCATATAGTTGTGGAAGAATTGGGTTTTTCTAGGAAACTGTTAGCACCATGGTAACTTAGGAGTCGCAGGCATAGGCAAGCAACATCAGATGCTTGTATCTCCTCATCACCAGCTCTGTGGAGGCAAGTCCTCTAGCCTCTTCCAGCTTCCTCCTTTATAAAATTTGACTATAAAATTTGACTAAAAATAGCACTTACTTCACAGGGTTTTGTAAGAATTCAATGACAATGGAAATAGACAACTTGCAAAATGCATCGCGCTGTACAGAGGTAACGGAGGAAGACATATCTCTGTGTCCCTTAAAGCAGAGAGTGTTCTCAGCCTGCAGTCCAGAGCACTTTGGGTAAGGGCGAGCATGCCCATGCCAGAAGCTGTTCACCGGTTGTAGTAGACAAGTCCCCCAGAATTGGGGAATGTCACCACGGGAAACTATGAATCTCCCTGAGTTACTGAAGCAATGGGCTCTCTGGAGCAAGCCTGGGCCTGCGATCCTTGAACAGATGGCTGCACAGCTGGGAGGGGTAGGTGCCCACCGGTGGGTCCTGCAGGCCCCAAGGCCATGTTGGTACAATGGGAGACTCTGCCTGTGGCCAGGGAGAGGGGCAATGCCTAGAGTCAGCTCCCCAAACTCCTACCCCTTCTATCCCCTTCCTCAGAAAATCATCTGATTCCTATTCTGCCAAACTGTTACTTCAAATTCCACCATGGAGCTCAGTGAAGTGCAAATAATAATAGTATTAATTTCTAACACTTTTATGGTTCTTACTGTATGCCAAGTACTACTGCAAATGCTTTGCAGGTATTAACTCATTCAACCTCACAATAATCCTATGAAGTTCACAGATGAGGCAGTTGAGAGCTTTTCCAGTTATGGTCAATATCATAATCAGAAAACAGACAAGCCAGGATTCCAAGTCAGCCAGTCTGCCTCAAGGATCTGTGGTTGGAATCACTATACATGGCCTTTCAGGCTTGAGATTCCCAAGCCTCAAACTACTCAACTGTAAAATGGGGACGTTCGGGGAGATGGCCTCAGAGCTTTCTTTCCATTAAAGAACTTTTTTCCTTGGAACTAAGAGTCATTGATCACATATGTATGCCTTAGGGTAAAGAACCTTTACTGAGACAGTTTCTGAAGGAAAACCAAGGACACCGCCACACAGGGAGGATCAACTGAAGAGAAACTGAAGAGAAAGCTAAGAAAGCAAATGTCAACCCGCATAGTTTTGTGCACACACCCACCACCCCACCATGCCTGTCCCCACAGCCTCCTTGGGCCCTGTCCTGTGCAGAGGCCTGGTGTGGAGTTTCCGGACAGCCTCATTACCTGTGACGATGCAGGTGAACCTGACGTCGCTGTCCTCGGACACAGCCCGGGACTTGAGGGTGGTCTCGAATAGTGGCTGGGTCTCCTCTGTTAGCTGAGCAATGATGGAGCAGAAGGTGCTCCTAGGAAAGGCAAAGAGCTATTTAGAGCTGCCCTCCCCACAAATATACCATAGCCTGGCCTTGTGCAAGGCAGCTTAAATCTTACCATGTCTGTTCATCATCCTGCAGCCAGAGCTCCAGCACCTGAACAAGTCTTTCTTCAAGGCAACCTGTGCCTCTTGGCCAGATTGGGGCCAGGTACCAAGAGGTTGAATGGAATCCTGACCCAAACCCATCACAACAGGCAGGCTGCTGACCACAGGCCAACTCCTGAGCATGCCAGAATACCAGCCCAGATTCCCCAGCCCATCCTTACAGGGGAGGCCTTGCTTCACCCCCACCTGTCATCTCCAGGGAAGCTGGTGCATGGGGCAGACACACACGTGGATAGGTCAAGCCTCAGAGTTGGAGCCCTCAGCATAGCAGAGCCTCCATGCCAAAGAGGGAAAGCCAGTCAGCCTCAAGGATTCGGGAGTCCTAAATGCTCAGGAGCTGCTCCTAGAGCTGGGACTCAGAAGAAAAGCTCCTATATTTATGAGCACAGACTCTTGGTGGACAAAGACTCTGCTGGCCAGTGCCAGGGTCTGCACCCAAAGGTGGATTCCGGTTCATAGGGGTATCAGAAAAGAGAGACCCAAATGAATTCTGCCCCCAAACTGGGCTGTGAGCAGCATTGGCAAGCCAGCTGTGGCTCCCCTGCTCCATTCCCTGGATATCACATGCGAAGTGAAACATGGCTGGCTGCGCCAGAATCAACAGGCAGGACATCCAAAAACATCCTGCCTGCAAAAACCAAAACTCTTAGCCCCCTTGTGACAGTCCATCTCCCAGATTTCAGGGGCATCTGTGGGCTTACTGAGTCCAGCCCAAACTCACCAACAGTGCTCAAATCTTCTCCTTCCTGGGTACAGGAAGTAAACCACCATGCCAAACCCTTTCATGGGCCAGCAGAGACAGTGCATTCCTAGGCGTGAAGTGCCACCACATAGCCAGGTTGTATGGAGCACAAGCCGTGCCCAGCCCTCCTCCCCCTCCCCAGGCACACACTCTGTTGTGAGCAGCAGGGAGGACTGTGAGGTGATAAAGTAAAGAGGAGCAGGAGGAACTGTGGTGAGAAAAACAAATCATTTGAAGGCGCCTTTCTCTCTGCTTCAGAGGAAAGGAATGTCATTCAAGGGCGATGCTTGTCCATCCATGACCTCTCCACCAGGGGCCCAGTGAGAGTTTGTGGAAGCACAAGCAAACAGGATCTATATACTCTGGGGGAGTGGTTCCATGCTGAATGCATCTTTTCTGTAAATATTATTCTAGACTTGAGTTTGAGGAGGAAGGTTGCATCCCAGGAAGAGTATCTGGAGTCAAGTACGGCTTCTGGCCTGATGGGGATCCAGCCATGGGTTCTCCACAGAAATGCAGACACCCAGGCACTCAGGTTGCTGACAGGAGCACTCCTCCACAAAGACTACCTAAAATGAGGCTCCCAACTTCTTACCCACCTGAATATTTGAGCTGGGTCTGCAGTTTGACATATTCTATAAGGCTCTCTACAACTCTCCCTCACCTAGAACTCACCTGTCCAAGAAGTTTCTTTTCGTTTTACTTATTAGCCACTGAGAAATAAAGGACCTTCAGGATCTAGACTATCAAGTCCTTGAACACTCAAAAAATGTGACATTTGAAAATGCTTCTTGTTGCTATCATACTAACAGTAATTTCTGACTGTGGGGAATATCAAATCTCAACCAGAAGTTTCTAGAAACTACCAGGCCAAACATAATCCTACTACTATTATTCTATAATTAATTCAAAACGTCTCTAATTATGCCTTCCTTACATAATTTGAATCCTACCTCACCCATGAACATGAACCTGGACCCCATATCCAGCTTAGGCTGTTAGGTATGAAGTTGCTTGGGCAAGTCTAAGAAAATCATTTTAGCTCCTAGGCAAGTGAGAAAACAGGGAAACTATGCTTCAAAAAAATTTGCCAAGACAGGTGCTAGTCGGTTTATGTCATTACTCTTTTTGAATGGTAAAGAACACTTCTCAAACTTTCTGCACTAGGTCTCAAGCTATACCCCAAACAATGTTTACATTGGAAAGCAAATAAGTGTTGAAAGCTGTGGCTAGATGAAAGGCCCTCCTCGAGAGAAGTGAGTTTGGGGTGCATTTAGGGAGACAAGGAGAGTCACTTTATACACTGTCACATTCCACTGAATGTCACACAGCTTCTCGTTACCATGCGCTTTCTGTCTCTATCTTCCAAACCACTTGTATGTGGAATAGACTCTGAATGTGCAGTGTCCAGTTTCCTAGGAAGTCAGGAAGTCCACACATCTGAGAATGGTTGTGTTCAACTCTGACACCTCCATGTCTTTCCAATTCCATGACTTCATAAGGATATCACAGACTAATTAAGTGTCTCTAAAGAACACCAGAATCGTTGGCTTTCATGATGTTCAAAGAAACCTAACCTTTCCCTTAGGTTAGGTTGGGTTTACCCAGGTCCGCTCTCTTTCAGCACTGACCACACTCCATTCTGAATTAGTTGTGATATCCTCTCTTCCACCCACGAGCCACACAGAACCAAGTTCCCTCAGTGTTCATCACCATCAAGCACTACATGCATGGCAGGTGCTAATCTTGTCTGTGGACATTATTAGCTATTCAGAAATCAATTAGCTATTCTGAAATTTTTCTCTGTATAAAGAAACTATAGCCAACTCTCCCCAAATCTATCAGAGTCTGGGATGAGGCCCAAGTGGTGGGAAGTAGCCAGGAAATGTTCACACTTTGAGCATAACAGTCAGTTCAGCCAGGGGTAGAGAGTTGTCCCCGGCTCAGGAAGCAAGAGGACAGTCATTCCACCAGCAAACCTGGACCATGAGCTTGCTTGGACTTTGCCCTGGCTCTGTGGAAGATTCAAAGAATAAGCTAAACCAGGAATACATATGATATTCTCTGATCTCACAGAGTTCACAGGCTGCAGGGATGGCAAGGAGCCAAAGGAAAGGAAAATTCAGAGAATGAGGAGGTAAAAAGAGAACTTAAGGTGCTGCAGAAAAAAAATTAAGAGGCAGTTACCATGGCTAAAAGAAGATAGACAAGGTGTCACACCAAGATATGTGATTACAAACACAAAAAACTAGGAAGAGGGGGTCGTGTGACTGGTGGGTCTTTGGTTCCCATGATGTCTCTCCTAGGGCACAGAGATGTCACGGCAGGCATCTCAGGGACCCCCTACTCACACTTCTATTCCTGAGATCCTGTGGCCCTCTCAAATGGTCCATGCAAGCATCGACTCTGGCCCCCCGTGAGAGTCACGCTCACGTGAGTACCCTCTCACACCCTCCCCACCACCCTCCAGATCTCCCTTCACCCCATGCAGCCTGGTTAGTGCACGAGCAGTCACTCAGTGGCCCCTCAATGCCCCAGACCCAAGAAAAAAGCAGTCAGAGAAATGTAATGCAATATGCATTTACCTTCCAGAGCTGGGGTGAGACAACCGGTTGCTTGATAAGCTAAGCAAAAACAGCAAATGGAATCATTAGGCCAAAAAAGCAAGGAGAGGAGAAGGCGAAATCAACAGTCGCAAACTATTAATCAGCCACCATCTGGGGCCCAGAGGCCTTTCTATTAAAAGGGACCAGCTGTCTTAGTTGGCCTGCTCCAGTTAGCAAGTGGCCTCACCATCGGACATCAGTGTATCTGAAACCAAGAGCTCATTAAATGCAGCAGACTCCAGAGAAATGGTTAGGCAGGAAGGAGGCCCCTTGGGGCTGTGTTTTGACAAAGGTACGTCACAGGAACTTGGGTCACTGCCTCCAAGAGGGAGGTTTACAGCTGCCTGGCACGCCTCTCTACCCCGCAGCACAGCAGCCTGGGAGCAGCTCCTACTTCGCTTTGGTTTTTTGGGAAGAAAGAGCCCCATTCCTGGAAATACCCTGAGAGGCTGGGAAGAAGACAGGTGGCTTGGAGAACACCCACCATTAATATGTTAAAGTATGGTTAAAGAGAGGTCACGCAAGGCAAACCAGCTGGGAGAGTGAAGAAGAGAAAAACAAAGCGGTTAATTGAGCAGGAGCTGGGAAGCACCCAGCTCCATCAGTCCAGCACAAGGCCCATTCTGCTAGAGGCCCTGGTCAGCCCCCTGCCTGGGGCAGCTAGGAACAGACACTAACCAGGGACTGTGTAGGCCACTGGGGGCTGAGGACCCACACAGGACAGCCCCTTAGTGGAGCTCCAGCCCATGTGATATGCGCCAACATTTACTCTCCCTCCACCTTTCCTAACACAAATATCTCTGGTGGGGAGCTAGATCTCAGCTCTTTGGGAGGTCTCAGGGGTCAGCCCATCCACACTCCTTCCCTTCAACTGTCCCTACTTTTTGGCAGCCCTGTCTGCTCAGTGACACAGATAAAGAAGTGGTCTACATCTCTAACCACAAGAAGGCTCTGATAAGATCCCATCTCTTTATAACCACAAAACCAAATTCATCCTTTTCCCCAAAATCTGACTTCACCCCTTGACCCCAGTGCTCCTGGGCTTGTGGATACCATCAGTGTTCTCTCAAACTCTCAAGCTCAAAGCCTGCCATGTTGGACTCCTCCCTCTCCTCCATTCCTCAAATCCTGCCAGTCAACTGGGCCACTTCTTGGCCCGTCTTTCTCCCTCTCTCTCTACTCAGGCTGTTGTGCCCTGCTCTAGACCCTCACAGCTCCATATGTGGTGACTGCCTCAACCCCCTTCTTAACCCTTCATACCACATCACTTCCCCAACAAAATGCTACAGTCCCCCTACTGTAGAGTATACTGTCTCCACACCTTGACCAGACATTTAAGACCCTCCCTGATCTACTCACACCCCTGTTACAGCCATGATTCTTTATACTTCCCAGCACTGAGGTTCCACTGCAGCCAGACCTGACCTTAACTGGCATGGACAAGACCACTCCTGGCCTCTGAGTCTTCACTTTTGTCCTAGTTTGGAAAGTCTTCCCTCCTTCCTTCTGCTCAACTAAATCCTGCCGACCCAGCCTTCAAATCTAGTTCTTCTTGTAGCTTCCAAGGCTCCTAGCACAGTGCTAGGCATATAGTGATTATTTAATTGCCGTTCTACAAACGTAGAAGAAAAAAAGAAAGGAGGAAGAAGGAGGAAGAGGAAGAAGAAGGGAGGGAAGAGGAAAGGTGGGAGGGAAAAAAAATGCATTTTTCAAGCAGGAAGGGTCCTGCCCCCCAGAGGGAGCTGCTGCTCCAGAAAAGATGTTAAGATGGGAGCAAGAGTGCAGCTGCCTTTGCTCAGAGTTTTAAAAATCCTCTGACTGGGCTCGGTGGCTCATGCCTGTAATCCCAGTGCTTTGGGAGACCGGGGGTGTGGGGGGAGTGAATTGCTTGAGCCCAGGAGTTTGAAACCAGCTTAGCTAACATAGTGAGACCTCGTTTCTACAAAAAAAAAAACAGCAAAAAAAACACATTAGTCAGGCATGGTGGTAAGCATCTGTAGTCCCAGCTACTAGACAGGCTGAGGCAGACCCCAACTCTAAAAATGAAAATCCTCTGGAGGCTGCATGGGCAGAACCTCCTGTGGTTCCAAGGCACTAGCTAACTCCATCCTTTCCTGGCCATAAATTTCCTTTGTCCCTCTCCTTGGAATTGAGAGCATTCTTCTTTGAATCTGGCTGTCTTCCCTGGGAAAGAGAAGGGGAGAGTTAGCCTTCTAATTCAGAGAGGAAAATGACAGATTTCACAGGCTCCACCTGCCCGTGGGCACAGGACTGAATGGAATCGTTGGCCACTCCCCGTGTTTTCTCTCTGGGACTGTCTGTGATGTCTGCTCCCAGGCATCGTCCTGCTCTCTCTAGGCCTTAGCCTTTCATCGTTAGTCCACTTGGGAGGCATCCCGGTCCTTGGAGGCACCTGGTCTTCAGTAGGCAGAAGACCTGCCTGTGCCCTGCTGACTGGGTCACAGCTAGGCTCAGGATTGTCACCCAGGCAGAGGAGCTTCCTGTTTACTGCCTCTGAGGGGGTCAACATTAGAGGCAGGAATGCTTTAAAGAGCTTGTTATGCCACCTTCGTCTTACAGAATGGGAATTCAGGGCCCAGAAGGAAAGGTTTCCTCAAAAAGGAGTGAAGTAAGCCTAGAGGGAAAACCAGGACTGGTTTGGAAGCAGGAGGTCTCCATTCTTCCTGGCTTTTATCTATTCTGGGACAAAAAGGCCCTTGGAAAGTCCTGCCCTGATACCTCAGTTTCCCTAAAAGTTCTAGACAAACTGATTGACTCAAACAGAACAACAGAGGTTGTTTCAAATCTGTCTGTTGCAAAATTGTAGGTTCTGCCACTCCTCTGAGTCCACCTGGATCAGGGCCTCCAATAAATGAGGGGGCAGGGACTTCTGGAACTTCTGAGTGTCCTATAGAAGCTAATTAATCATAACTGCTTCTACCCATCTGTTGTCCCTGAACCTACTCTAGCATATCCACACTCTGCTTTCCTTGAGGTGAGGTTCTAGATGCTGGGTGACCTAGGAGGCTGGGGCTACAGGGCCATGGTTTGGTGAGACTATCCACATGTTGGGTCTCTGACCCCAGTGGGCACTGTAAATACTCTTGAGCTGACATTGGACTGGAAACTCCTCCAGAGCTGTGGAGCAGGAGGAAGTGAGGTGTGCACAGAGAGGCAGGTTCTGGACCCTGGTAGGTTCTGACTACTGGCCCCCTTGCCACCAGCCCAGCTGTCCATCAGTTCCCAGAAGCAGCCCATCTTCACAAGAGCCCATGAAAATGATGCCTCAAGAGCACCGTGGCAGATTTGTGTCAAGGGAGATATAGAAAATGCTGGGATCAAGGGTGAGTAGGGACAGAACTTGCCCGTCAGTCAGGATCTGGGACAGTAGGGGCTCAGCTGGGCTGGCACTGACACAGCTGGCAAAGTCCCTGGGGGACTCTCTTCCTCCCTGTCGTGTGGGCCTATCCCCTACCCACAGGTAGTCAGGCTGTTCTGAGGAACAGCAGACTGTGTGATTGCTCCTCCAACATCAGTCAGGCCTTGCTAGGGAGCTGGAACGTGCCCCTCCCACTGCACTTCCCAATGCAGCCCCATTCACATTCTCCCCACTTTGACCAAAGGCTTTTCCAGAGGCCAGAGAAATCTGGTTCTCCTTGTCCCTCAGAACCTGTAGGGGTTTGTGGCCAGCTGGCAGGAGCAGTGAAAAACTCTGCAGGAGCAAAACACAGCTCAAAGTCCAAGACTAGAAACGTTCTCTCCCACGGCCCCTGTCCTGCCACTCCAAATACTTGATGAAAAGAGACCCTTTTAAGAGTATTCCCATTTAGGCCCAAGGGGACTTCGGCCAGCCGCGTCTGTCCCTCCTCTAGCTCTCAGGCTGGCACACTGCTTTGTGTTCAAGAGGTGTGAAACTAAAATGTATCTACCGCACAAATGCTCAGCCAGGCAGAAGCACTGTGTCCACTCTCCAACCCCCTCCCTAATGGCCCAGATCCCCTGCCCTCCCCATTCTGCCTGGCTTTCAAGCCACCCTTCCCACCCTCCCACTCTCCATTGTGGCTGTCTCCAAGAAGGATCCTGTCTTCACCTCTTCTGTTTGTTCCACTCGTTTTGACAAAGGCCAGACACAGGAGGCAAAGTCCAGACAAATCACTGTGACAAGTGTGACGCTTCACAGGGAGGCAGCTTCACCAAGGACTAGAATAAATGTCCCAATTTCATTCCAGTTTATCTGTAGAGCCAGGAGTACTTGGGAGGAAGGAGCATTCTTTCCTGGCAGCCCGGGCCTTGTTGAGTCTGACTAACACTAACACCAGCCCTCAGCCCTGTCCCAGACATGTGACACCCTTTGACGAGTTTTATGCAGAAACCGGTTCCGGTTACATTTGAACTTTTCCAACTCCAAGGTCAATAGGACTCAGCCAATTCACGAGGAAGTGCCCAGGACTTTTCCTGAATGTCCTTGATGCCTGTTTTTGTGCTGTGTTAGGAACAAGACGTTTTTCTAGACAGTGTCTCAGAGGATGTCTGTTTTCTGCATAACATACGACAAGCCAAGTTGTCAGACTAGGAAACAACCACGGTCCCAACAGCTAAACTGTCACATTTCCCTTTGGAAAAATAGGCTCCAGAGATGTAGGGAAACTGAGCTGCTGGGATGGAGCAGGAAGTGTCTGTCTCCATGGCAATGAGTGTGTGTGTGTGTGTGTGTGTGTGTGTGTGTGTGTACCTTTGAGTGCCTGTATGCTTCTCTGTTGTCTGTGACTTTATATCCATGGGTAACCTAGCTCCTAAAACAAAGTACCCACACCTCTTAACTCTTGGAAGAGCAGTGAAGGGCTCACAGGTTCCAGCCTCTCTTGTCACATTTCACCCTCCCATGGGCAGGGCAATTGGCTCTCTCGAGCTGCAAACCCTTAATTCCCAACATCCCCAGACAGTACCAACCAGCACCTCATCCCAACCCTTCATGTCACCAGGTCCAAAAAAGATCTAGGAAAAGACCAAAGTCCTGGGCCCAGAAAAGGAACCTCATTTACGCAGGTTGAGTTCTTCCTAGGGAATGTTCCCCACCCCGAGCTAAGCAGCCCTCAAGTAGGGCAGTCCCCCTAGAGACCCCTGACCCCCTTCCTCCCCCCACCAGCCTCTCCTGCTCCTTTCCTGCCAGGGAGGAATTTCAGCCACTCTGGCTTTCCTTGTCGCTAACTGTGGAATCCGAGTCCGGGGGGTAGCAGGGTGTGGGGTGGGAGAGCTAAGGCAAGTTTTCAGGCCCTGGTGAAACCACCCCAAAGCCGGGCCTTTCTCCTCTCCCGAGCCTCACACTGCCAGAGGCTGGAGGCCACGGGCCACGAGGGGTCAGGAGCCAGGAGGGGCCAGCAGAGCCATTCCAGCCTGGCCCCGTATGTCCCCAGCCTGGAGCCTTCGGGCCGAGCGCGCCCGAGGTCACGGCCCGGCCCCGACCTC